GTTATATTTTATAAACATAAATTTAAAAAATAAAAAAAGAGAAGCAAGTTAACAATTAAGTTGCAGCACATCTACCGTGAAGCCAATGCTGTTGCGGACCTTTTGGCGAAGATGGGAACTACGAACTACCTTAGCTTCCTCTTTTGTTGTTTTGGAACAATGCCGTGCTGGTATGTGTAATATGTATTATCTTGATGTAATGGGGAACCCGATTCCCAGGAACATTATTATCTAATGCTACGCCCATCCTTTTATACCCAAAAAAAAAAAAAAAAAGTTCGACTAAGTTTTAGAATTGCCACGGAAAGAAGTTTCGATACCACGTGAGGTAGGTGGGACCCTGAGTCATGGAATTCGCAACTTCCCTTCCACAAGCGCCAGTCAATTGAGACCAGAACAGTGGTAATTTTTATCGCGGTTGTGGAAATTTCAGGGGTGGTGTGAATAGGATGATCTTATCTAGACTACACGACTTTTCCTTCACTTACCAATCAATTTAAAAGGTTTATTTGTCCTTTTCCAATTTCTGACAAATCCTTAAATGTAAAAAGGACCCATTAAAATGGAAGGTAAAAGAAGGCAAGAAAAAAAAAAATGTATGAGTAACTGTTATTTCTCGATTACTTATTTATATTTATTTTTTCTCAATATTCTTACGTGTCAGTAAGTGAGGGGCAAGTGTTGAGGAGACTGGATAGTGCTTATGGGCGAGTGCTTATGGGCGAGTGCCTATAGCACTGCTCATTGACCTGCCCCACATTTTGCAGCAATGATAAAAGGGCCGGTGAACTTGATAAAGATATTTTAATACCGAATTGCGTAATTGACCCGTTCTACATTTTGTTAGATGGTATAGTGAAGTAATAATAATAATTAATATATTTTTAATTTGACATTTTTTATATTAATTTAATTTAATTATTAAAATATAATATAATTATAATTAATTTAATTAATTTATATATATTATATGTATAATTATATATTTAAATTTATTTATTTAAAATTTTAAATTAAAATAATAATTTTTAATAAATATATTATGTAATATATCAAATTAAAAGAGACATGTGTTAAAAAAAAAAAATAGTAAGCCAATAAGTTCAACTTGATCAGTACATTAACACCGCCGGGCTGTGAAAATTTCAGGGATGGCTGATACAGACTACACGACTTTTCCTTCATATACCAATCATTTCAGAGGGCTTATTTGCCCTTCCCCAATTTCTGACAAATCTATTATATAATATATCAAATTAAAAGATACATGTGTTAAAAAAAAAAAATAGTAAGCCAATAAGTTCAACTTGATCAATACATTAACACCGCCGGGTTGTGAAAATTTCAGGGATGGTCTGATACCGACTACACGACTTTTCCTTCATATACCAATCAATTCAAAGGGCGTATTTGCCCTTCTCCAATTTCTGACAAATCTTTAAATGATAAAACGGTCAATTAAAATAAAAAGTTAAAAAAAGGCCAAAAAACAAAAATCAGACCCTACGTGTATAATAATAATTTTATGATAAA